CATGCTGGGCACGTTCTTCCCGCGTCTGGATGTCCAGCACGCGCGCTTTGGCGAGGTCATCGAGCCGGGTATACTCCAGTAGCCTCCCTGACAGTGAAGAGAAGCCGTGGGAGTGGGCGCAGGCGATGACGGCCCTGCTGAGTGGGAAGGAGGACGGTAGCGGACACGAAGGTGGAGGTCGATCCTGATGAGGGCGGGAAAGGGGATGTGGTGCCGGTGCCCCAAGAGTTCCAGTATCACTCCGATGGAGAAAGGGAAGACGAATAGGAGTCGTATCTGCTTCTGCTGGTCGGATCTAGGTGTGAGTTACAAAGTACCTTGCAGCTCCCCCCGGGCATCGCTACTTGCTTGCGGCCAAAACAATCTATGAAGCCCGAAGTATATTGACAGTCGCTTGTCAAGCCATGTTTGATCTTGTCTCGATCCGAACCCCTTAGGTCGTCAGTCCGTGGGGAACATTGTGCCGCGCAGACCAACAGGCTATTCAGACGAGAGGTAGCAGTGGGACACCCGAACCGTGGCCAGCGCACTGGGAACCGAAAAGGATGTGGAGGTGTGAGGGGAGATGCAAGCTTCGCGCTTTTGCATGGCGTTGGTGACCCCCGTCAGACCATAATGAAGTCATCGCACGATAGACCTCTCCTCTTGCTCGCTCGCCCTGCATCTCCAACGGGACGCTAACCTGCAGCTAGTACTGGTGTCCTCCCATCATGGAATCGGGCTTGACGATCGTTGACTAATCCTCCGACGACACGACGGGATGATGTCTCTATCGCAAGAGCCGGGCCTGCGAGTGTGTTCGGCTACGGACTGGGTGACTGGGCGCAGCACGCCCCTGCGAAGCACGGCCCGGATGATGTAACAGGGTCTCACCCATGCCAGACTTGATTTCGCGCAGAACGGCGTGGAATGCAGTCGGCGACCAATACGTCAAGCAGCAGATGAAGTCCGAGATAGAAACCCTCCAACGCTACCTTTTGCGTGTGATACTGGCGGCTTCTATGCCGTCAATGCCGTCAATGCCGTCACCGCCGTCTGGGAAGACAACAACTGAGGCTTGTCGAGATGCCATGGATGCAATGCCACGATAGCGGAATGGTAAGGGTCTCGGATGATGAAGTGGCGGTTCTCGGGTTCTCCGAGATTGCTTGGAGCATTCAACAACTGCCACGATCCCCAGCTCTCCACAAGAAAAGGCAGGAACAGCTGTTTCCCTTTCCCTAAACATGGTCATTTCTGCGTGATGTCTCTAAGAAACGGGTAGTGATATGAGAGATCGATCTACATTCCAGACCCTCAGACCGTCTTTGAAAACCCATTCTCGGCCATTCCAGGTCCAGGCATTAGCTGCATGTTGAGCTTAATTCCTTCCCTGGCTTGTGACGCCGAGCCTGCCTTCCGTTTAGGAATGCACACTCCAAGTTCTCAATCTTGAACTGGAAGCTACCCTGTGGGGGAGGAAACGGACCCCTGCTCTTTCCTGCTGCTGTTGTGCGACCAGAAGCACGGTGACGTCACAGGGTCCCTCTTTTTTTTCTGGGTGGCACCATCCACAACATCACTCCTTCCTTGTGCACTTGATTCTTTCCTCACCGAGTGCAAAGGGAAATTACGAGCGTCTCGAGGACAGCCTGTTACCCGTAATTTGACGGCGTGGCTGCTTCGCCCAGCCCTGACCTACCTTTGTCACTCTCGACCTTGGTTTCTCCTGTCGCTTTTGGTCGAGAAACCACAACCTGTGCCTGGACCCCTTCACTCTCTGTGTAGACCCTGAAATCCATCCCATCGGCAAGCGCGCGGCAGGGCAGAGATGGGATTCTTCAATTACCTCAGCATTCGGCGTCTCGGAAGCGCGTTGCCGGGCTGGCATTTCCTGGAATTGCCATGGTTGACTGCGCGAGGGCCTGCTCGTCTGCCAAGTTTAAACTCCAAGTCACAGCCAGCCTCTTCCGCCCATTGGTTCCTATTTCTGCACGGACAAGGAAGCCCTTGTCACCCTGATTCGCATGGGGACGAACAGGGTCGTCTTGGCGACTGGGCGATACGGTACCCAGGTCCCCTATTTCTCTTCTCTATGTACTTGTAGTGTACACTAACTAGCTGTAAAGTACCTTGAGTACGTACGGGGCGAGGAGCATGGCCGAAAACATGCACTACTTAATTACTCGGCGGCCACTGACATCATGGGAAAGCGTTCGTCGTCCCGCTAGGGAGGCAAATGACTGCTTGCTGTTGGTTCGGTTGTCCAATCCCCCACACCACCGATGCCTCGTCTTGTACTTCGTACACGACAGTGC